TCAAGAAAAAAAAATGACCTTTTATTGTACATTTTTTAATTCCCCACAGCACCCTAAGTACTTCTAAATACACATTAGGGACTCAGTAAATATTCATGTCTTGAGTAGCCTAAACACTAGAACCATTCGGCAGAAATACCACACGGAGCCAGACGGGGCCCAGTCCCAGGGACGTCTGTGACTGGGTGTCAGTGCTTTCCCGGTCCTCAAGGAAAGGGTCACACACCAAACCACCCAGACAACTGAAATGCTGGGGAACTGGCAAGAGCAAAGAAGAGATGTGGAAGTTCCAGTCCCTTTTGTGTTACAAGTTTCCAAAATATGAGGAAATACGCCAAATGCCTTTGGCTTTCAAATGATAATATACTCTGAATTAATGACTAAGAGGGAAACGCCCACTGAGCGGTTCATGGACAGTGTCCCTCTGAAGTCAGATCCTGCTGGCAAGTGACCAAAGAGCCCTCCTTTCCCCGGTCAGCCCGCCAGCCCCCGCCATGGCCAGGCAGCACTTTGCCGTCAGCTCGGCATTATAAAAGTGAGCAATTAACAGTGCCGTGTGCAGTTAATCAAATGATTCCACTGAATATCCCCAAATTTGGGTTCAAAACACATTTGATTTGGGGCCTTGACTAATTGTGGGGGAAACTGTTTCTTAAATTAAAATGTAGATATAAAGATAAGTCTTTAGTTTTTTTTAAAGAGAAGCAAAGATTTTTAAATGTACTTTATTTAGCAATATGTTGGATAAACAACCATGTTCTAATGCTAACTTGAGGACAAATGCAATGAAATTACATGAATTCCCCTTAAAACTGTATATGTATTCTAAAATAATCTTGTTGATGAGCCTGCTTTATTTCAGATTTTGTAGGGTTGAAAAGTGATTAATTCTTTAATTAACATCAACATATATGATGCTTTCCTTCAATTCCAGTAAATACACCCCATTTTCAGCTGAAGAAAATAAGGACAAGTTAAAAGGTTCCAATTATTTCTTTCAGGCAAGTGAGCGAGAACATATTTAATAACAATTTAACAGTCATTTATTTGTTCATTCAACATTCATCGAACACCTGCTCTGTGCCAGGAACTCTGGTAGCTAGTGGGGAGCAGAGCGGTGAGCAAGATAAATATGACTTCTACTCCATGGAGCGTACAATCTAGTCGGAAATCTTGCCATGGAACAACTAGAGAAAGAAATAAGTCAACAATTGAGATAAATGTGGTGCAATCATATAAAGGGTGCTTACCTCTTTCGGTTTACTTAAACTATGGTTTCCTGCAGAGGTGGTTTTGATTATCTAAATTCCGATTTGCCCTATAAAAGACATTTGATTTAAAATTACATAGAAATAACATTAAATACAAAGTCTACTACAGATACAAAATGGCTATTTCTGCATGAATGTATCTGTGTTGAATATAAAAATGACAAAAAATGCTAGTTATTTCAGAATTACTTTTAACCAAGGCAGTTTCCAAGGGAATTCATGACCGCTTTAGGTTAACGGCCATTGGCTGCACATTCAGACCTCAATTAAACTCTGAACTTCCATTGTTATTACTTAATTGGCGTGGTTATATTTCATGTCAGTATTTCAAAATGACCTTCCTTTTAAAAAATAAAAATTCCCCTGACAAAGGACCTCGGGTCTTCGATGAGCCTGACGTCCGCGGCTGCAGCCCCGCACGGTCTCTCTGTGGGGTGGGCCTACCGCCTGCTTAGCTCTGCAACTTCCCGCCATCCCGGCCTATGATTCGAGACAGCTCCAGAGAAATCCGAGTGATGAGGGAAAAAAGAACGAAAAACGAAGTACATCTGTTGCCATGATTACTATTAAAATGCCACATAAATCCACCGATACCCATTTTATTCTAAGCACAGGGAATTAGACAGTCTTAAAATACCTTGAGTATCACAATTAAATATTGTCAAATTATCCTTATTTAAAAATGATACTATGGTATCTTTATCTTACAAGCGACTCCAAATGTTTAGTTGTTCCAATTAACTAAATGGAAACATAAATCCCTTTCACGTAGACATGAAACAATAAGAACAGGTTGGATTTAATGAGTTGGACTATATATAAAGTAGGTACGATGACGCCAAGATCGAACTTCGCTAAACTGACTGAAACAAATTAAGGCATCAAATGAGCATTTCCCTTCCCCCCTTGTACTGTGGAAAAGTTTTAAAAGTCTTTTTGAAGTACTTTGATCAAGCTTTGAAATCATTTTAGCGGGTTACTATTGTATGAAAACTGTAATTTATAGTGCTTGACCTAAGCCGCTCTTTGTCTCACAGCCGTATTCAAAACAATAGCAGGAAAGTGAAAAACACAAGGGGAACCTAAGCTGTTCTGGTTATTATTTAATTCATAATTCCATCTTCCTCATTTAACCTTTGGAACCTGGGCATGTTCTTAATGAAACAGGCTCAGATTATGTTCGCTATGGCTAGGAAGGCTAGCTTTGGGCACGGCAATGCGGCGACCTGGACTGTCGGACTGTCCTGTGCGATCCTTTCTAACCTCCGAGTGACTTCACAGACAGGTTCCGAGAGGCGTCTCTCTGTAAGCGGTGACACTGCCGGCAGCCTGCCATTGTGTACCTTCTGGTTTCCTCTCTAGTTAAGCTGGCTTTGTTCCTTAGCCCTGACTGAGGATGTGTCAGTGGTGAGATTTTCTCTTCCCATTATTGTCACAAAATTGTTACGCTTGGAGGCAACCAGTTCCCATCAGATCACAAGAAAAAAGCAAGCTGCCCCCAAAATGAACAGCTAAATTGTACCGGCATTTTGCTGTATTAATTTGTAATTTTAATCAGTTTCATACCTCCACCCAGCCTGAAAAAGTAGCTGTAGACCTCACATGTTCTTTTGGCTCCTTTTGCCAAAACATTTACCGATGGCCTAAACCTCCTTCCATATTTGACCCTGTAAACTGTTATTATCTTAGTTGCAAGTTTGATGACCTTTCAGGTGCCACACATGCCCTTGAATAAATACTCCGGCATGTGGAGGATCCTTAGGTAATCTGTTCTCCAAGGAGGTTAGATCAACTGCTCCCACTCCCAACCTCCGCCTGGGAGACACACGGATCAGGACTTAGATGGGATGGATTTTTGTCTTGGGCCATTTCCTGGGGAGAAAAAGAGCCAAGGAGTAGTAACAAAGTGCAGAATACACAACCACTTGCGAGGAAACAGGCAAAGACTAGTGTAGGGGCAGATGGCCTAGAAGAGGTGGGAAGCAAGAGGATGAAGCAATAAAAATTTAATTTTATCAAAGTAACAGGTCTGTAGGGGAGCAGGTAATAAAGAACAGATTTCCGAGGTGTCTTCATTCAGAGAGGAAAGAAAACAAGGAGTGTAGCTCCTTTATCAGTGAATTAACTGTTCACTTGGGTGCTGTGTGTTAATTAGTGAGCCCCCCCCTCCCCCCCGCAGGTACCGTTTAGTGGATTACCTCATTCCGGGCTTGGCAAATATCCCTGGTGGCTGCAATGAGTTAATGCAGCCCCCAAAGACCAACAGTTGATAATCTTTTCCAGGGTGGAATCAAGCCTTGGGGAAAATAAGCAGGTATACACACTTCTGGTTACAAGAAGATTATTTCCCCTGGAGAGCCAGCTTTCTACTTTGGATCCCTGAACCTTCCTTTTTACATGCAATTTTAGGAGTTTTTAGAAGAGTTGACATATCTCTCACTAGAGGGCAAAGGAAACAAAAAGATTCTCATTGTTTTTCTAGGGGGCAGCGGTGGGTGTTTGGGATGGGGAAGGAGTCTATGGAGTCATCTCAGATATCAGTGTATCAGTGCCGGATCTGCTTTGCTCTGAGCGGACCCCCTGCCAGACTTCCAACAGGGTCTCCTATTTGTTAGTGAGAGCAGATGCTGGCCAAGTCTATATATGCCAGAGAGAACATCATTTACTTTTATGTTTTACACACGCCTGCTTTCTGGGTTGGCATAATTCATTAGCACAGTTTGCAGAGGGCTCCATAAAACAAGATCTGGCTTTAATGTTAATGTTCTAATGACGATGGCAATAAAAGAAAGTTGACATCCTGTGTCTACTTTCCAGGGATGATGTGTATGTTGTCTAAACTAAAAAAACCAAACAAGTAAACAAGCAACACACATGGATGTAACACAGATAAGTATTTCTAGCATAAAATAAAAGAATAAGAGTGAAGCTTCCTGTTTGGGAACATTACTCCCTCCCCACCCCATACTCCTCCAACTGAAAAGGAGTAGGTATAGTAATCATAATAGTTCTTATGGGAGAAAAAGCTTAAGTTTTGTACAACTTGTAACTTTGTCATAGTATGCACAGTTTGCTGCTGGTTTCTTTACCACGTTTAAGAGCTGAAGTTTAAAACCTCATTCATACAGAGGAGGCGGGGCCTCTGCGGGAGAGCACCAATACCTTCTCATAACACATTATGTCAGGGCGCCAGGCAGAAGAATGCCCACGAAGTGCAAGCACCTCTTACTTTTTAATTTATTTGTGCACCCCCACCATAAATTTGTTTAATGTAAAACAAACAAACCCTTGACAAGGGTTTAACAGGGTTTTCAACATCTGTGCAGATACATGTAATTTATTCCGAAAGAAGAAAAAGTAGTTTGGAGCAAGCCCTGAAAACTGCTTTTCACAACACTTTCATTTAAGGGGTGTGAGTCTGTGTGTGCGTGCGTGTGTGTGTGTGTGTGTGTGTGTTGAGACAAGAGCAGTGGTTTCAAATCCTTCTGCTTCACTCTCAAAACTCGAACGATGCGTTTTACATGGAAAGAGGAGTTTGCCTGAGACCTCCTTACTATTTCATCATCTTTTTCTTTCCTTTTTGTTTAATGCAACCTTCAACAGAGTTAAAATCTGCATGTTTGGATCCTTCAAAAGAAAAAGCAGACTTGTGTAAACCTCTTAGGTACAAAACAAACATAGTACTAATAATAGCATAGTCTGTTGAAAGAATCAAGCAATACGAGTAACTTAAACATGTTTGTAAAAGCTTACATTTTAATTAATATTTCCAAGCTCACCAATTCAACATTCTAAAAGTCATTATTTTTTGTCAGCACTAGGGCAAATATTTCACTAAATACATTTCTGGGCATCCATTTATCTTTTACTTTCCAAAATATAGGTTTATAATGAATTTATTGACATTTTGCTTTAGACTGAAATTTGATTTACAGCATAAAAAGTAAATAGATTAAAGTGAACAAATACAAACTCTCCTTTATTTTGCTTATTGAAAATCACCTTAAGTTTATTTGTGGTACACTTCACTCATTCAAAGCTGAATATTTCTATTGCCTAAATTATTTGAGTGTTACATAATTATGTGGTATAAAATGCAGATAAAAAGCAGTGTACCGACTGCACTTTTAAAAAAGTTTACTCATAAAAATACTATCATACATACTGACAACCAGCCAGGTTAAGAAAGAAACCCTTGTCAAAGCTGGCACCGAGCTTCCATCAACTCCCGCGGCCCCCATCCAGCGAAGGAGTGTGGTTTCCAGACACAATGTAACTCATGCTTCCAAATTAGATAAATGAAAAATGTTTGGTGTTCAAGTAAGTATTATAAAAAGAGGAAATTCTCATCAAGTGTATTTTTCAGTTTGGCTTCAGGCCATGGAAGTCAGGAAACCGTAAAGACTGGACCGAACGAGCACACAGCGCGGGCCGCCCACCGGCCTGGCAGGGTCCTGCAGGTGAGGGCGGAAATTCAGCGTCAGACTTGACGTCTTCAGCTTCGCTAAGACTGTGCTCGATTATTCCATGACGGCAATGCAACACTGGGTATCCGTGTGCACAGAGAAAGGCGGGCGGGAGAGAGAATGAATGGAGCCTTAGGAGAAAAAAAAAAAAAGTGGGTGATTTGGTAACTGGGAGGAGAATTGAAAAATCACACCTTTCAGTTTCCACATTTTTTCTTTTGTTCAATATTCAAGGAGAAACCATCTGGAAGGAAGAAAGATTATGAGTATCTATAAACGAACTGTTTGACAGAGACAGAAATGCTGATAATGAGTGGGTTGTGTCTGTAGTTCTTGGCTGTTCACATCAGCAAGGGATGAAGGAAAACAGAAACTCTTGATATGTTTGTCTAAAGAGGTAGTGGTGTGACCACGGGCAGCAAGAGTTCAGCTGGAGTTCAGAGCAGATGTTGCCAGCAGTTGACGCTGCAGGAAAGTAAAATTGCTTCCGGATTCACCTTTTCCTCCCAGCTCCTCTTCCAGGACCATCAGGGTCAAGCCACACTGTGGCACAAGGTGACAATGTCCGTGGGGAAGCAGGCCTTGAGCAGGATGCCTCTCTCCCGGTTGCAGTCCAGCTCCTGGATGAACCCGTACCAGTAGATGACCAGGCCTGGCCCGAATCTGCAGAAACACAAGAGAATAATATACACATGTAGTATCAACATAGTTCCCCAAAAAGTAATCTTCGAAGCACTGGCAAGATGATTAAATGATGTTATTGCACAGATGTATTTATTTTGGTTGCGATAATTATGACTGGAAGTAGCTAAAGTGATACCAAAGAGCTTATTTAATGCAAATATTACCACCTGGGGCACATTTACTACCTTTCTTTCAAGGAACATGAAGTATTTCAGATACATGCACCCTCCTAACTGCCTTTCAGGAAGATGTCACGAGTTTGGGCTGATGGAGGAGAAAACCCGAGCAGAGACAGTGATGAGCCAGCCAGCGCCTAGCTTGGGGTTTCAGTCTCCTACCACTTCGAGGTCTCCTCAGAATTGAACTTAGCTATTTGCAACTGAGGAGAAAGAATAATTTCGAAAAGAGAAATAATTTAAAAATGGAACAGCTCAAGGTCCTCCTCTAGCTGTAATGTTCTACTCATGCATAATAGGGTCAGAAGTCCTTTCTGTCATTCTTTCTTTGCAGTCTTAAAAAAAAGTAGCCCACAGGACAATGGGGAGCTTGTCTAGGGCCTTCTCTCTGCCTCGCCATTCCCCACATCACCACCTCTCTGAGTTCAAATAGGACATGAGATTTGGTTGTAGGTTCTTTTTTCTTTTTTTTTTTTTTGCCATGAAACTGAGAAATAATGGCACACAGACTCGTGATAAAGTATAGACAGACTCAGGCTTAAAACCCCAACATTTCTACTCTGTGCCTCTGACTTATCTCAAATTTGGTGAGCAGCAGGCTCAGGAAGTCGTCCTGTAGACTACTTTACCCATCAGGAAGTCGGGACCTGCTGGCTGGGTTCACAGGGATGTGATCACTATCAATCACCATGCACACAGAGATGGCTTGCACATCAGTTTCACGTTTTTCTGACTGAGAGTTCTTAATTAAAGGGCAGCACTACTTTTGGTGTCGTGTTGCAGGAATTTTACAGCAAAATCATAAATTATGAATGCTAGGTTAGTAAAAGGATGTCTAAAAACAGAACTGCTTTCTGTGTTCTGACATTACAGCAGGCTGAGCCATGCTAGGCCAAAAAGCTTTTTCCTTCCATGATTTATTATATGCTGTGGTGTACTTGCCAAAACTAACAGTACAGGATGGGCTGTGAGATGCTGTATGCACAGGAACAAGTTCAACTGGATGTCATGGAGTGGTTTATTTGGGGATTCACATCAGTAAGGTAGCCAAGTTGGATGCAAGATTAATTAAAACTTTTTGCATCCCCTCCATGCAAGGACAGAACCGTGAGATGGCAACTCATCAAGCGAACTGGTTCTAGAGGACACTACGCACAGATGAGACGCCACAGAGCACCAGGTGCTGTGGCATTTACCTGAATTCGGGGCTAGCTGCAGGTGATGCCCTCTTCTTCCTCAGTATGTCCGAGGAAGTTTCCTTTGGGGTCAGAGAGCCACACTGCCATGGCACAGGCATGCGGGCTCCAGTGCTTACATGCACGCAAGGTGAAGCTCACACCTGGAGGAGAACTTGCCTCTATTTAACTGAGGGTTACTTAGCAACTTTCATCACAAGCATTTGTCTGCAACTAGTACGTAGACTATTGGGTATCTCTATTTTACAAAAAAGCTCTGAGATTGTTATCAAATGACCTCAGATCTGTCAAAACAAGTCTGGGAAGAGCAGAAAGACCTGCAATTCTCAGGATCGGATCTGAGAAGCCTCAAACCTTCCCATCAACAGAGCAGCCCTGACTCACATCCTCGATAGACCTAACATTAAGCTCAACACATTCCTTCATTGTATTATGCAGCCGTTCTGGAGACCATGATGTTCTTTTGAAAGGCACTGTTATTTTTACAAACGGAGAAAAAATATGTGATCTAACCAGTCGTGGAAAAGAACAAAGAAATATATGAGGGTCATAAACAACAAGCCCAGTGTTTTAAAGATTCAATAAAACAAAAACACATATTACCAGCACCGAGAGAGCAAGAGCAGTCTGTACTTCTGCTGAGCAGCTAAATCATAAGCCAAAGGACACAAAGCATGACAGCTCTTTACAAAAATGGCATTTTCCAGGCAGAGAACCTGGGCTGCGAAACACCTCAAAGACCAAGCAAATGGACTCATTTCACTTGTGAGGTAGTGGGTGAAATCTGCACCTCAAAAAAGTTTTTGCAAGATTGTGAATCTGAACATTTCATGTGATGGTTCACTTCCAGGACCCCCTAAAGGTAGCCATGTGGGTCTGTAAATTATCAGTATATGAGACTAGTGACTCATCAGAAGACTTCACCATGTATCTAAGTGTTTGCTTCTTAGCTTTTGAATGGAATTGTATTAACTTAGGTACTACTAACTCTGTCATGTGGCTTGAAAGCTCTGGTTGACAATATGTGCTTAAATAATTAAAGATGAGAGAAGACAACCCCCCTTTGTAAGTGGAGATTGGTAGAGGGAGGCTTTTAAATTACATGGTCTTTGAGAAAAATAATAGGAGCTTTAGAGGGTGACAAGTTTGGAAATTTAATGACAGAAGAAGATCTGGCCTTGTTCCCGATACCTACTTGAGTACATTTCTGAGCTTTCTCCAACTTGTGATCCAGAGATCATCAGATACTGGGAAGATAATCTCCCAGCAACTTATTTGTTTATGAAGAGGCTGACCATATTAAGAAACTTTATATAATTAATTCCTTGCTTATCTGAACTAACAGAGGGAACATTTTGGTTGACAAGTTTGAAAAACCAAGCAAGCCAACTCTAGTGTTTTCTTCTAAAAAGGTGTAAACCAGAGAAAACAGGACCTAAGACATGTTTATGTGGGTCAAGTACGTGCTTGTGAGTTGACGGATTTCACCGTTTTGATGCCTGTTCCCATTTATTGTGGCACTACTGGGCACGAATGAGATCACTGGGAAGGCAAACATAACCTTTGTGACCAATAAAAATCAAAGAGACTGTTAACGGCACTTAAAGGAAAACAGAGTCCCCGGGCCCGAGGGAATGTGCACAGCGGAGGGCTGGTCTGCTACTGGGAGTGCAGCCCGGCCCCAGCCAGGGCGCGGGCCGTGATGGGATGTGGACGGGCATCCAAAATGATTCTGTAAACACATTTCTAGGTTGACTGTGACTTGAATGTTACTGTACTCGTGGTCAAGCAGTAAGATCAAAGACTCCAAATGGATTTTACAAACTCCTGTGGAGCAGACACTGGAATGTGACTTTTGGACAACTAATTATGCCTGTAAATAAAATACCACCAAATTAGCAACAATAACAAATACCTCTTGAAAAAAAATGGGAGGTGAAAGTCAAGAGCCATGACAGACCCTGAGGGTATGAAAGATGAAGTTCTATCAATAACGACAACCTGATAAATGTGTTTGAATGTGTTTCTCTGGTTTCCTTTCAATTTAGAGAAATTCAATAGGAGCCTGTGGAGCGAAAGCCAGGCGCCCTTTCGTGGTTTTTGCGCAAGTCTGTCTCCCAGAGATTATCTCTGTTTCGCCATTTGTCTCCTTGCTACATTGTGGCCCTGTTGGGGTCAGTTGCCTTGCAAATTAGTGGCATTTCTGCGACTGGATCTATGAAATCAAGGCCAGGCTTTTGTCAATTTAAAAAATTTGAGCCAACACATAAAAATTGGGAGCTTCTACACAAAATCCTGCATATTTACATCCTCTTGAGAAATGAATTGACGAGGCCACAGTCTGTGGGAGCCGAGTAATGGCTGCCCCCTTTAGATGTGACACGTGTTTTCGGGTTTGCCACAGTCTCCACCACTCTCTGTCGCCCCCATGCCGAGGCTTAGGGACAGGGGCCACTCCTCATCATGCTTGTGCCATGGACGTTCTTTCATTGCAGAGACCTACTTCTTCATAGTCACATCTCCATCAGACTTGGGAAGGCAAAGACAACCTCAGAGGGCTTCATGTTTCAAGGAAGAAATGAAAGAGAACACTTTTCTTTTTTTATGTCCTACCTATTCTGCTCATAAATGCCCACCTGTCCCCTGTGGGCATTTGAGTTCTTGGCCCCTGCCTTGAGATCTAACTCCGAGGATCCCAGACTTGGGTCAGAGACCCTTGAGTGGTTGTGAAGAAACTGCAAGACATCCTTATGCATACTAAGCAGTATCTTCAGAAAAAAGTAAATATATCTTCTCCTCTCTTAGGGATGTAGATAATAAAATAGAATCATGTCAGCTTTTGGTCATGTATTTTCTAAGTAGATAAAATCTAAAAATGTAGCTATAATCACATGGCAAGGGGGCAGTCAGCAAAAATTAGTTTTGGCTGTTTTAAAGATTTTCATTTGGCAGGATTGGGGACACTCTTCTAAATGGGTTGATCTTTTCTAGATGAGTGCATACATGAAGGAGAGTCAGGAGAGTCTATGATATGGGCAATGTTAAAGACATGAGAAAATACTTGGCAAATTTGTAACTAACCTGTCCCTGCTCATAAGGTTCACATTCACAGTAAAAACGAGCTAGAAGGAAAGACAGTTTATGTACCAGGCCCCATTTAGGACTCTCTCTACTGAGAGCAGCCTCACCACTGCTACGCGTGGGGGGAGGGGTACAGAAGAGAGGCAGCACACTAAATGGGCAACAGCAGTAATGAGGGGAGACCCACAGTGGTGGTGCTGCTGGAGTTCCTGCTGAGTCGCAGTTGAGAGCTGCAGAGAGGTATCGTGGTGGGCTGACTTCTAAGATGATCCCTGCCTCTAGGAGGACTCGGATCCTTGTTTAATCCCCTCCCTTTGAGTGTGGGGATGGATCTAGTGACTGGTTTCTAACAAGAAATGAAAGTGACAGGATGTCACTTTTGTGGTTAGGTTACAAAAGACTGTGACTTCCACCACACTTTCAGACACACTCTTGCATTCTCGGCTTGCATTCTTTGACGGAAACTGCCATTTAGGAGAGGCTCACATGGTAAGGACCTGAGGTGGGTGGCCTATGTCCCTCAGCC